TAAAATTTAGTACTCAATTAGTACTTTCACCCTGGCACATATTTAAAATTAGTACTGACAGTCCCAGTGTGTACATTAAGGTTGGAAGGCCATCGAGGATTTGATCCTATAATATTTCTCTTGTACATTGGCGGGCCTGTTCACTGTTCGTTCTAGCGGGTTTCAGTGACCTTAATGTAAAACGTTGCCGCATGTCAGAAATGTATGGAGAGCGAAGCGAGCCGGATTTTTTTTGGTGGGCAGAACGAAGTTGTGTCATCTGTTGAAATGCGAGATTGTCTCCCCAAAGACCAACAATTAGTGAAATTCTCTCTATAAGTCATAATAGCGGGAAGTACTGCTCGAATTGGGACGACACGCCGTGGTCGTGGGCTCGTCAAAGGCGTCTGCGGGGGTATTCTGGGGGTTGCTGCGCAACCCCCGCCAAATTCTGGGGGTTGCGGCCCGCAACCCCTGCACCCCACTTGGTACGCCCCTGGCTGTTGGACGATTGGGCGGTGCAGCGTCAAGCCCGCACTGCCCACTTACAACCTCAATGTACACACTGGGAATGTCAGTACTAATTTTAAATATGTGCCAGGGTGAAAGTACTAATTGAGTACTAAATTTTAGCGTGCAGTACAAATTCCTAGCTGCATTGGGCGGTGCGAGTATTGTGGGTGGCCTATCTTGGAGTTTGCGGGGGTTCCCTTGTTTTTACCTCCGTTTATGCGTTGTTGCCGTGTAGTACTAATTCCGGCATGCCAATATTCGGAAAGTACTAATCGACCCGAGCAGAATGCACTGTGTGTCGGGGCTGTCGGACGATTGGGCGGTGCAGCATCACACCCGCACCGCCCACTTACAACCTCAATGTAAACACTGGCGATGTCAGTACAAATTCTAAATATGTGCTAGGGTGAAAGTACTAATTGAGTACTAAATTTTGGCGCGTAGTACAAATTCCTAGCTGTATTGGGCGGTGGGAGTACTCCTGCTTGCCTACCTTGGAGCCAGCAGGGGATCCCTTGTTTTTACCGCCAGTTATGAGTTGTTGCCGTGTAGTACTAATTCCGGCATGCCAATACTCGGAAAGTACTAATCGAACCGAGCAGAATGCACTGTCTGTGGGGGCTGTGGGACAATTGGGCGGTGCAGCGTCACGACCGCACCACCCAATATCGATTTCGAATGGCGGCTTTAGTTTGCAAGTACAAATTTCACTAATGGGCCAGGGTGAAAGTACTAATTGAGTACTAAATTTTGGCGTTCAGTACAATTTTCTAGGTGCATTGGGTGGTGCGAGTAATGCGGGTTGCCTACCCTGCAGTTTGCAGGCGCCGTCCAACTTTGACTTCAATTTTTATGGTGTTAAAAGGTAGTACAAATTCTGCCAGGTTGATATTCGAAAAGTACTAATTCTTCCGAACAGAATGCATTGTCTCTCGTTGGGATCGGACAATTGGGTGGTGCAAACGTCATGCACGCACCGCCCCATATCGTTTTCGGATTGCGCCCACAGTTTGTTAGTACAAATTCTAATATTTGACAGGGTGAGAGTACTAATTGAGTACTAATTCCTGGCGAGTAGTACAATTCCTACCGCCATTGGGTGGTGCCTACTTGACAGAGCTGTCGCAGCACACTCCCCGGCCGAGCGTTGTTAACTGACGGCGCCTAGCCCGGCGGCAGTATGCCTAGGAAATGGATTGGGGCTGTCGCCGCCGTCGGCTCGTAAATGTGAGCAGCGCGCCATGGAGCGGGGCGCGGGGGGTTCAGCAGGCCGTGCAGGGCAGGGCGCTCTTCATTGCGCCTGGTATCCCCGCGGGGCCGGGCGCGTCGGGGCGTGGCGGCGGCGGGGCGCGCTCCAGTTTGCTAGTGGGGCACTCCGGCGGCGTCCATCTCCGCGTTCTTGTTTATGCACAGCGGCTCAGCTACGCCGGCGCGGCTGCAATCAAATCCTTTAATGCGCCGGACCCGTCGCGCCCCGCCCCGCCCCGCCCCGCCCCGCCGTACTCGCGCGCACTTGCCGCACCTGACTCCCGTCCCGGCGGGATGCAGAGGAAGCAGGGCTTCGGCCACACGACCTGCTGCCCCAGTCACTAGGCCGCTCCCCGCCGAGGAGAGTCGAGAGTCGTGCTGTCCCAGTCCGTGTGTCTGTGTGTGCGAGAGCTTGACTACGCGCCACAGCCGCACGCAGGCCACGCTGCGCCCTTTGAGGGCCGGACAATTGATTGCCGTACCCCGAAAACAAATATTGACTTCCCCTGGATTGCCTGGGCCGCCGGCCTGGCCCGGGCCACAGGTTGCGGTTGTGGCGGGGGGAGGGGGGAGTACGGCTTGTGTCTGGCCCGGGCAGCGGGAGAAGGTTAGGGAAGGGGGAGGGGCTGTCATCGCCCACGGTGAAGTCCCGAGGACCTTTAAACAGGGGGTCTCGTACAGAGTGTAGTGTATTGCTGGCCGGCCGGCCCCGCCAATTGAAACGAGGCACAAACAAGGGCGCTGCTCGGCGTGCATAACGGCCTGCCTGATGCCCGGGCAGGGGCTCGCTGGCGGCGCGGGCGGAGAGGTGTTTGTGGCGCGCGATAGGTTTGCTTACACGCCCCAGAGGAGGCGGTGGCGGCGGCGCCGCGGTGCCTGTCTGCAACCTCCCTCTCCTCCTCCTCCCGCCTCCGCAACACGCCTTGTGCGCGCGCGCGCTCTCCTCTCGAGAGGCTATTTTAATCGCAGTAAAAGCTTCCTCTGCTCCAGTGCCTCCCTCGGGCAAGTTCGAGGCCTCGTTGTGCGTCTCTAGAGTTTTCAGAATCAAGTGCGGGGGCGGCCGAGCGGGGCGGCAGACGCGCGGGGCCTCTGCGCTGGCGCGGACCGCGCCCGCCGCGCGCACGGGGGTGCAAGAACGGTACGCGTCGCTACCGCATCGAAGAGCAGGTCCCCGCCGTCGTGATCTACTCTCGGAAATTGCACCCAGCCCGAAACCGTCCCTTCGCTCCCTACCTCGTGCCATTAATTCGCTGTCGCGTCCTTTTTTCTCAAGCGCCCCCTCCCCTCCTCCGACGCAGTGTGGGATGGGGGAGGGGTGGGGTCAGTATAGGGCTGGGGGAAGACTCCATTCATAGGTGATGAGCCCGGGCCCTGTCCTGTATGTCATCTCAGCGGAGGCCCCCCCCTGCTGTTCCCCCGCGGCCAATTTCCCCCCGCCGCGCCTCGCCTGCACGCCAGGCACGGCAGGCCCTTTGCAGCAGCACGCTCCGCGATGTAGGCCAGCCGAGCAGAGCAGCCCGGCAGTCCGCCAGGCGATTTAGACCGGAGCACGGCCGTGCCCCGCCCTCGGCTCATGATCGGCGATAGTGATCCGCCGCGATCAGCGCGTCCGCGAGCGAGTCGGGCCCGCGCGCGCCGCCTGAGTTCCCCCCCGCGCTCCGCGTCGGCGTGGTGCCTTTGACCACGACGACGACGGCGGTCAGCCTGGCACGGTCGTTTCCGTTTTCCGGCGCAGTTTGTCGCTCACGCAGCCGGCCGTGCGGCGGGCCCACAAAGTACGGGGGGGCATGGGGCGTGGCGGGGTGGGGTCGGAGATGATGGAGCAGTGGTGCTGGGTCCCCCGCGGCTCGTCTGGCGCGGGCGGAGGACGCTCGGCGCCCGTCGGTCCCCCTCGGGCCACGCACGGCACCACAGTGAGCCTTTTCTTGGTCGCGCTCCAGCCTCGCCCCCTCGCCCCCCGCCGCCACGAGCCCCGGCCAGGGCTCTCTAAAATTCTTTGTGCAGGGGAAGGTTACCTTGCAAAGAGAACCCTGGCCCTGGGGGGGCGGGAGCGAGGGGTACATATTAAGGACGAATGAAATGCCGTTGGAGGACCTGACTGGGACGTGCTCATAAAATGTAAACTTTTTGCCAGACTCGTAAAAGGAATACATTGTTTCAAGGGGCTCCGAGAAAGGCATCCTCTGTGAGATCTAAGAAATTGCCGTAGAAAGGACATAGTCTCTTTGTTTTACCCAAATAATAAAGTCAATTCCACTGAAAGACCCGTGTTTCGTCCGTCGGATGCACCAGCATTTCCCTCTTTCGCGTCCCCACCGACTTGCAGATCGTCCAGCAAGAACGCCCGTTTTTCTCATACTCATTCAGCAAAAGGATGTCATCCGAGGCGCCTGCGAGATTCAGGGTAGGCCACCCCGCATTACGCGCATGCACTGCAGACAATATGTTGCCTACCTCTCAGGCGCTTATGAGGCCTGGCATCGGATGGGCCGCAGAGTTCCGTAACGGCGAATGGCGCACGTGCTTTCTGGATAATGAACCTTTAACCTTTATGTTTGCTTTTCTCTCTCGGCGGTGGCGTGAGCCGCTTAGAGTAACACCCACCCCCCCGGAAGGGCCCCATTTCCAGCCCTATTATTCTACTTTGGCACCCCATTTGCGCGACCGCTGTGCGCGGCCGATGCGTTGTTGACACTAACCACCCGTTATCCACAGCGAGACCGCGAGCTGCGTCGCGTGTGGCTGGTGGTGGGCGGCGCGGTGGCGCTAGCCTGGCTGGTGGGCGCGGCGGGCTGGTCGCTGGCCTGGCTGCTGCTGCTGCTGGCCGGGCTGGCGGCCGTGGCGCGCGCGCCCCTCGCCGACGTCCTGGACGAGGCGGTGCGCTACGAGACGAGGCGGGTGCGCGCCCGGCGCGCCCTGGCGCAGGACGAGACGGCCGAGTGGTTCAACTTCCTGCTCAACCGCTGGTGAGTTCCATACCTACACGGGGTCGTCGTGCATGATTGACGACAGGGTCGGTTGGCTTTGACGCTGTCCTCCTTTGTGCTCGCAGGTGGACGTTCAGCTCCAACTCGCTGCTGGCGCTGCTCAAGGACCGCCTGGAGCCGCTGCTCAACGAGTCCAAGCCGTCGATCGTCGGTAAGTGCGCGGAGGGTCTCGCGTGAGGGGTGGATAACTCCCCTGACAAATGTACACCCCTAATTCTGCCCAATTCAAACTAATTCAGTCCAATTCAAGGCAATTTACATTCAATTCAAGCCAATTCACGCTAATTCCGTAAAATAAAATCACAATAATTCAAACCAATTTAAAAACAATTCAACCAAAGGTGTCCAATTCAAATTCTATTCGAGCAAATTCAAGCCAATTTAAATCTAATTCTTGAAATTCGTACACTTAATTCTGGAGTCATCCACCCCTCGGTCTCGCGTTGGAGCGGACGTGGCATTTTACCTTCCGCCTTTGAAGTTGCGTACCCCTCTAAAGGTGGCCAGAGGGGCGGGGTTTGAACCCCCGGTTGACGCCCCCGGCGGGCTCCCACCGTATCGACCAAAGGCGACGCCACGGCCGGGTGGGCCAGGTGTGTCGGGCTGCATTTCAGGTAGTCCTGGCGGGGGAGGGAGAGAGGGAGGGAGGTTACCCCCTAATTTGGGGGACGAGGCGAGCGAGGGTGGTACGGTACACAATTGATTCACCTGGAGGGAAAAGGGGGGGGGGGGCTGCGGCAAGGTAGGGATCTGGATGAAGATGCTGTGGTATTTGTGTTGCATACATTTACCGGGTCGTTGACCTGGCCCGCAGCCCCCCTGTGGCTCGGAATTACTCACCCCCTCCACAGCTGCCCCCCCCCCTCCCTCTCCGTCCGTTTCCTCCCAGGCGGCCGCGTTTCCGGACCGGGGGAAGTGGCCAAGCTTTAAGCTGCGGAGCCTGTAAAAGGGCTGCCGGCTGCCCGGGCGGCGGCGGGGCGGGAAACGAAGTGCCGGCATTTTTCACGGGAGAAAAATCGGAAAGTGACCATTCGCTGTCAGGGGCAGACCATTTGGCTCGGGCGCTGGCTGTCTGCCGCCTGTCCGCCGTCCACCTCTCGGGGCTCCAGCCGGACAGGGTAGTGTTTTGTGAGCGCGGCCCGGGCGGCGTGTTGCCCCTGATGAGTTTGCGGGTGGATGGCCCCTCTGCCGCCGCCGCTTCGTGACCCCTCGTTACTCGTGGCCTGCTGCCTCCACTGCTTGTGGCCTCTGCTGCTCGTGGCCTCCACTGCTTGTGGCCTCCGCTCGTGGCCTCCACCGCTTGTGGCGTTCGCTGCTCGTGGCCTCTGCTGCTCGTGGCCTCTGCCGGAGAAGGGGTGTTGTTATTCAGCAGCCGCCCCCAGGCTCACCCCCTTTAAGGGCATTTCGCTGTAAGCGCGCTCCTGCAGTGGGGCTCAGCCCTAATGCGGACTACGCGCTACGCTCCGCCGTGCGAACGCGTGCCACACCACATGCACATTCCCGAGGGAAGGCCGACACCACCCGACGCTCTGGGAAATTCAGTCCATGTGCAATGTGCACCGATGTGTAGGGCTGGGGCGTCCCGAGGAAGCTGTCGGGCAGGCGGAACATGCAGGTGCCTGGGGGGGACGTGGCACCATAGGGGGCCGCTCACTCCACCGCCCCACCGGTGGGTACCTACCCCCAGCACAGCAGCGGGGGGTGGGAAGCGTCCAATCCGCTGGAGGCACTGCCGCGGCCGGGCCGCGCCGGGGGCCACGGGGTACGGGGGGCTCGCGCGCTGTCGGCTCGAGGGCTCCTGGCGCCCCGCGCCGCCCCCGCACGGCCCCCCCCTGCTGCTGCCCGCGGGCCTTGTTTTATCGCACCCCCCAACAGCACGCGTGGGGTGCCCTGCCGCAGGGTCAAGGGCTGGGCTAGGGCTGCTTATTCCACCGTCGTGATGTATGGTCTGTCAATAAAAGGGCCTGGCGTGGCGGGTGGCTGTGCATCAGCGCCGGGCTACGCCGCGGCCCTTGCGCAGGAAATTGCCACCACGAATAGAACCGGGAGGGGCCGGATCGCGCCGGACCTGATCGCAGGTCGGCCCTGTTGGCCGGCACCGCGCCGACTGCAGCAGCCACCTCCCTATGCGCGCCGCGCGTGTCCTGCGATGCAAGAGATTGCAGATATAGCAGATATAGTCTAAACGCGCGCACGCGGCGCGGCGGCGCAAGTCGTCGTGGCGCGAAATTTGTATATATAATGAAAAGTAACGAGGCTGGTCGTGGCGCTGGTACGAGATGGATAAGGCCCGTAATGCGCGGCTGGTCGGCTGGTCGCGCTCCCTTTGGCTCGGCGCTGAGTAATTTATGAAAGCTCGCCGCGGCGTATTATTCGCGCAGGGCGCTGTGTGTATTCAGCCTTTCAGCAGGGCCCTCCGCTGCTGGGCCGAGAGAAGCTTTGGAGGGAAGTCGATCTTGTTCCGGTCGTTATTGTTCCTCCCGGTCGGCGGTGTCCGCAGCGGCGGTGACACAATGCCAGCCGAGAAGTTATTTCAATGTGATGTGTGTGCTTTCGTTCCCAGCGCACGGTAAACAAAAAACTCTGAATCTGAGGCGTGAAAAAATGTGAAATTTTAATTTTTGAGGCAGGAAATCGACTTTTAAGGCATCCTCTCGATTCCGAGCATCCAAAGCCTGATTTAGAGCCGCTCGGCTCTGATTCCGAGGTAATGAGCTCGTAATCCGAGAATCGTGTCTCGAAATCCGGGAATCGTTTCTCGGAAACGGATAAAAGGTGACTCGGTTTTAGAGACACGTTTACCCGATTTCGAGATCGTTAGCTCGGAATTAGGACAACGTCGGAAATCGAGATTTCCGCCTCGGAATCCGAGTTTTTTGTTTACCGTGCGGTCGTAATGCTCTACATCGTCCAGAGCGCCGGGCGGCCGGCCGGCCGGGGCGGCTGCATAACGGAGTCGTGGGACTCGTGGGGCGTTGTCCACAGTGCGGGGCGTGGCGGGGCGAGTGCACCGTGTGTGTGCAAGGCTGGGGGCGGGGCGGGGCGCGGCGGGGCGCGGTGCGGTGGACAATCACTGAGGCGCACCGAGCGCGGCACAGCGTGGAGCCCACGCGCGCGCGTTGCACCGCGTCGTCAGCGGCGTGTTCGTTCCATCTCAATCAGGACAAATCGCACAGCGTTGCGCCCGCCACGCACCGCCGTCAAAGAGTTGAACGTTCCACCCGCCTCCGACCATTTTAATTTAAATCTTCCATCTCGTACCTTTGTAAGTGTTAAATCTCCCTCCTACTTGTGCACTACTTTGAAGTATCCTATTTGTTTGCGGGTCAGTTTCTCCATGTGGACGCACTGTGTGTGTGTGGGAAGTGTTAAACGAGTTGAACACTGTGAAGTGCACAACTTGCAGTGATAAACACTTTAAAGTGTTGATTGAACAATGTATTTATCAGCAGTGTGAGCCCCACTGTGAGTGTGACTGGACAAACAAGTCCTGCGCTGCAGCGCCGGCCCAGTGGTCGGGTGGGGTGTGTCGGAGGTAATTGGTTCTACACACACACACTCGCACACACGCCACACTCACTCGCACACACGCCACACTCACTCGCACACACGCCACACTCACTCGCCCGCTCGCCTGTATACGTCCCGTTTCAATGGAGTGCAACTGCAAAACGTTTAGCCTCGAGTGGGAACAGGGGAACGCTTTTGCGGAGGATAGAAGCCAGAAAAACTAAAAGTGCCGCGTACATACCACTTGGGAGAGGCTTGTGATTCCTCCTCTCTTCTCCTTCCTGTCTCTGCCCTCTTCCAGCTTGGCCATTTCCCTCCTCTCGCCCTCTTCCTCTCTTCCTCTCCGGCCTCTTTTCCTCTCTTCCTCTCTTTCTCTCCATCCTCTCCCCTTTGACCCCCCCCCTCCCCCCGTCTGCTCTCCCTGACCTCATATCCGCCCCCCGAAGCCACTCGCTTTTCCTCCTTCATTACGCGTTTGCTGTTTTGTTTGAATGGCCGAGAGCGCTGCTGCTCGCTCTGCTTCGGTGCTCGAAACTTTTGGCCCGCGCGCGCGCGCAACAAAAACGCAACTTGTTGAAAAATAAAATGAGGGGAACAACTGAGGATAAAATTTGGCTCCCCGGAGGAGACTCATAGAGTATTCCATTTGGCCGCACGTCTATCGCCGGGGCCCGCTAGCCGCCCCTTCCTCTCCATAGCCCCGACCTTGCGCCCGGAGCCCAATTTTAATTAATATCGCAGTCAGGGGGGTGATGTTGGGGCGGGTCCACACGACGGAGCGCGCAGCTCTGCTGGGGCCTGGGGCCCATGCCCATGGCGTTCCTTATTGAGCCACTTTTTTTTTTATTTCCCTCCCTGCTGACTGGTGAGGGGGCATATCGTTCCCCATTCTCCGCACGCTCCGCTGCCTGCCTGTGTGAATGCGCAGCAGTGCGCACAATATTTTTGTCTATGCTTTTTCTTTCAATAAAATAAAAA